CCCTCCCCTCTTTACCTCCCTACTGTGCATGGGTTCTTTGTCAGTATCTTACTGGAACCTTTATGGTTCAGGTTCAAAGTAGCCAGGAAGCCTGCTGCCTGTGTTTAAGGGTGTTGCCATTTGTCACAGCTGTCTTGGATGTCGGCATCAGTGTGGTTCCAGAGCCGGCTGAACGTGTGGGTTCATTATTGGAGCTAAAATGTAAACTCAGTTAAGCAGTGTGATCATCAGTTACAGAACTGACTTGGGCATTCCACTTGCCTCCAACCCCCTGTTGGCTTTTTGTTTGGACAGGTTGATAGATGGCTGGATGGATAGCATCTGTTTAGGCCTTTGTCTTGTGGCAGGCAGGATGGCAGCCTAACTGTTATATGACATTCAGCTCTGTTAGACTGACACATGAATGTGTCTCTAAATGTATTATTAGGGCTGTTTGTCTTAAGGGTTTGATATGGTTATTCATTCATGTTGAGTTATTCCGACCTGCTGAGTTAAAAGCGGTTTGATGCAAAGCAAAGTAAATAACACGCTGGACTAATTCCCAACACGCCTGTTTAGATCTTTAAAGCAGCTCCCAGATGAAGGATGAACAGTCTAATCTAATTGAGTGAAAAGAACTGCATTGATAGTTTAGATGTTTTTTCAATGTAATGCCCGGAGATGTCTGCCAAAGTGTGAAGACACGTTTCCACTGCATCCCCTTATAACTCCCCCCACCTGTTTGTCTGACAGCTGTGGGGAGGAAGGTGCCACTTGACGAATGGCCAGCTGAGAGTAAGCTTGCATTACCATATGTTACACTCCAGTGGCAAAACAATAACTGCTACTTAGAATTATATTATTTGTGTCCATTTGTTGCCTCTCTGCAGCTTCAGCCGATGTTTGGATCCAAACATCAGCTGTTTATCTCTAGACTGTATGTATAAGGCATTGATTTCTGCTGATGCAGCCTGTCACATCCCCTGTGGTATCCCCCCGGGGAGTTCCTTCCATTGGAGGACCCTTACACTATCCAGTAGCAAATGGAATCAGCAATCATGAGACCAGACAAAGCAATGGGTTTCAGAGACCGAGGCTGCTCAGCAGGGTTGGGATCCCTTTACAGTGCAGGCAGTTATCTACCGTAGAGGAAGCAAACATCTTATACATTTTCAAACTCTCATGTTAAATTGCTCATAAATGAGGGCAAATTAAGGGATTGGGACCTGACAACTTTGTTTCCCTGACAGTCATATTCACCCACCCATTCACTCTCACTTCCTCATTAGCCTCCTCCAACTTTTCCTGTCATACGAAAGGTTGACTAGGACTATAAAAATATGTGAAAAGTAAGTAAAACAGGTGTTGACAGAATAAGAAACAGCAAGAGGGATTCAATTATGTGTTTAATTGCCAGTCTGCTACGAAGAAAGTATCTATCTGTTTATGCTTCGGTTGACTCTGTCCGTGTCTACCGAGTGACCCAAGATTTGGGAATAAGTCCACTTTAGTACAGCATGTCAGCTGTGAGCGAACAAAGTTGTATCGTGTAATCTATCCTTCCTTAATAGATTACACTTTTAGACTACAGAGACTTAACCAATATGATTATTGGGAACCTACATACATCTAATATATTGATCAAACATCATGAATGAGGAAGTATAACTATAACAGGTTGTATATAACAGGCAGCTCTAGCAGTCTTTTTTGATAAATTACATACTTCATTTTGAGAGTTCATAACAGCAAATACTTGTTGAGAATCTTTAAAAGTTGCCTGCATTATCTCTTGATCCTGGTAATGAGCAACAGATAAATTGCTTTTTTACAATTTTACATTTTATTGAGTTGCTTATCCCAGTCACATATCTACCAATCGAAAATGCAGAGCGTTTTTGTCCAGGCTAATTAAAAATGAATTGACGTGAGCCGAGCTTCCCTGGTTACCCGTTGGTTTGGAGGGAGGCGGAGGGGAGGTCTGACAGTAAGGGATGGTCCTCGGGGTATTGACTGCAGAGAAAGATTTTTTTAATTGATGAGACTGTGCGTTCTCTTAACTCTAACTGAAATAAGAACAACAAGAATGGATTTCAATTTTTTTTACATAGGCTGGTGTAAAAAACCTTGAAGGATTGTGATTGGAAAGTGGGCACTTAAACTGGAGACAGCAGATGGAAGAGAAACCTGCTTTCAGATCAGATGCATGTGAAGAGTCACCAGAGTAAAGGAAAGGCTTTCGTAAAAAAACATTTTATATCAATAATAACTATGTATCTAGTTGAACCAAAGATGCAGATTTTGACCCGTTGACCTGCTTTTCCTCACCTGAATATACTGTATATGTCTATTCAAAAAAATATCTTAATTTTAAAACCTTACAGTAACATTCCATTTGCTCCTCCTTTTACAGTTTATCCTGGGGCATATACAAGTATAATAACGCCCCCATTGATAGGTCACACGGTGTTGTGACCTTGGGTCAGACTTTTACCAAAGGACTTGGAAACATCTAGAAGTACAACCTTATCTTAACCTCCAGACATGCAGTCTCTTCGCACATTGCATGCCAAGAGGGGAGGATATTTGAGGCCAAACCATTCGGTACAAATCGTACATTCTTTCAGGTCTAATACATTTTTCCAACTGTAAAGTGGCTTCACTGAGGCTCAAAGTTTGATGACCGATTCACAGTTGAATCAAATCACCTCGTAAAAGTAGAGCATTCATTCATAGGTAGGACTGGAAGTGAGAGCTTGTGTGCAGCAATAAAAGTAATAATCATGATCATTCATTTTGAGTGGATATTGGACTGTCCAACAATCTATTAGTCAGGTCTAAATCAATCAATGGCAAATAGATTTCCAAATAGTCAAAAAGTCAATATCAGCTACTGTAACCCTCTTGGATGTTCTGTGGATGCCAAAAACAAAGATTTGGACAAAATCATGGTTTGAAGTAAATCGCTGCTACTGATAATTATGCCCCACCAACACCTACTATTTCTATTGCAGCATCTCCCTCTCTTAACCACCCACTTGCTAATGTTATGCTACAGCCCACACAGTGAATTTGCTAGTTTTATCATTTTACTTTAACAAAACACCTCATAATATATATATATTTTTAATTCCTAACACTTGGGCATATAGTCAACTTCGGCTGAAACACTTTTTCTGCAATGAAACGCATGTTATGTTTAATCTTAGAAAGAAGAATCTTTTAAAACCACTCGATACCAGCGATATTATTACCTCACAGCCTGGTCTATAAATTAAGATTCTTGTTTGCCGTAATAAATATGATAAGAGTTACAGTAAGTGTAAATGCATCTGGCAGCCAGAGCACAACAGATACAAGCATCAAGGAGTGATGCAGTATGTCTGGCTGTTGTTTTGTGGCATTACTCTAACCAAGAAGGTCAAGAAGAGAACCAGTGAGGAAACACAAATGTGGCTTTGCAACGTGTTTTGAATTGTTGTGTGCAGAGCACACTGTATGTCACCACTCATGCATGTGTGTGTGTATGTTTGCGGTGATGTGAGAGAGAAGTCTGTGGTGCTGCATGCTGTTTTGTGAGGATGACTAAGGACCAACCATTGTAGCCTCAGGCTCTGATTCTCTCCTATCTTACATAGCGAGAGATTGAGCTTAAAAATTAAACAATGAATGCTATGTTGGCGCTTTAACAGAACCGCCCATTTATGTCTGTGCTGTCATGCATTAGTAAGGAATTTCTAATACGTAAGCATTGGGGAGAAACACTGTCCCGTCAATTCCCTCTATTTGCCTATTTTCTTACTTCTCCTCCGGTTTCTTCATTTTCTCCTCAGCACACGTCGGCACCCTCCCCTTTTTATTTCTCACCCCATCACACATCTTATGCTTGCTGCCTTCGTACTTCTGTCGAGATGTGTCTGCATAAATCCTACCTCTATATCTTTCCCTCTAATTGACAGTAAAGTCCTCCTCCCCATTCTTTGTCAGCATTGTGAAAAGAGCAGCACAAATAAACAAAACCTCTACTTTGATTGATGACAAATTATATGGATTTTCGACCCATGGAGTTTTTAAAAGTAAAGCATTGCAAACTCGATGAATGTCCAATTACTAAAACCCCTCCCCTGAACGGGGATTGTCCAATCACAGCTAAGCAATCATCAATAGGCGAAGCAGATTTGTCACGCCAGGGATTTGTCCTCGTTGAAGTGTCCTCTATTAGATGTATTGAGAGTGATATTCCTAATATTAAGAGTTTGATGGGGTGTCTTCTTTGGTCTTTTTCAAAATCCCACAATACATGGTACAAAATAAGCTTGTTTTACAATAGCACATCCCCTGCGCCTCACACGGCTGTGTCTGCAAACAATAAAACCTAACGGATATTTGTCTTGCTGGTCCAAGTAGGCTGTGTAAGCTGTGCATACAAATAGTTTGGATCAGGACTCTGTTCACAAAGACACGCACTTGGCAATCGCTTCTAACAGACAGAATGCCAGGTAACAATAATGGCAACAATGAAAACAACATTATATACTCTTAGTTTTGACCTTTTAGAAAGCAGACAGTTAAATGGTAGCCCAAATGTTGTGATGTCTAAAATGTGTATCCATTATGTTGACCTGAGGTAAGGCTGATGGCCCAGATGTTGATAACAAGGACATTTATTACCTGATATACCAGTCTGGGGATGGGACTAGTTATTGGTTTTAGTCAGGGTGAATTTGCAGGATGTGTATCAACGTTCAGCTCAAAAGCATTTCAAATCTAGCATACAATTCTTTATTTACATTTGTTGAAGTTCAAATCGGTCATGAGCAGTAGTTCTATCGAGGTGCTCACCGATCTTAGCGCTGTGTAGGTTTTTTCATGCACATGTTGCACCATATCTTTGCTGCTACCATCAGATTAAGGTTACCAGATTTCCAAAAACCAACACGTAGCACATGTCATAAACTCAATGATAATACATACTTTAAAACATTGATCTAATCTTAGTGCCTTTGTGTCCGTGCTTGCAGACCATAGGCCCGAAGGAGGGCTGGCAGGTGTACAGCTCGGCCCAGGATGCCGATGGCCGCTGTATCTGCACAGTGGTGGCACCAGAACAGAGCCTGTGCTCCAGAGACGCCAAGAGCAGACAGCTCCGCCAGCTCCTAGAGAAGGTAAGTACCCGTAAGAAGGGGACATACACCCCAGTGCAGCATGAGACCACAGAAGCACGCGCTCTTCTGTAAAAGATGGGAATCACGAAGGGATAAAGAGCTTCATTGTTCTCACGAGGAGCGTGAGACCTAAAACGTGTTGCATTTACCTCTGTACGCTCCCGTGTTCGTTCTTTAAAAAAAGTAAATAAAGTCACCATTAATTATTCTATAATGTAACATAGTTTTTCTGGAATATTGTACTCTTCTATACTATGCGAAGCTACGCTACACAGAAAGTCAATTTGTGTGTGGTGACCCTGTTGGCGGTGATTATTTATCATTGTTTTATTCTAGGTGCAGAACATGTCTCAGTCTATTGAGGTGCTGAACCTGCGCACCCAAAGGGATTTCCAATATGTCATGAAGATGGAAAACCAGATGAAAGGCCTAAGGACCAAGTTCAGACAGATTGAGGATGACAGGAAATCCATCATCGCCAGAAACTTCCAGGTATTCTTCACCCTCGTTTAATCACTGCCTGGTTTAATCAAATGTTCGAGTAATCTTTAGTATTCCGTTTCTCTATATTTTAGCTGAAATGTTTTCATGCCACGTTCAGTTTCACAAATGCCACGACCATTACTTCATAAAAGGATCGATAGCTCTCTCAATGTCAGTTGGCATCTGGTCAGCATCGCTCAGCATACAGACTGGAAAGGGTGGGGGGGCGCTAGCAGACTGGCTCTGTCTGGAGGAAAACTCTGCTGGTCACTTCTCCTGTTTCAGAACCTCCTAAAACCATGAATAGTTACACAATGGTTTCCATAGGTTCATGAGTGTGTTATCGTCTCCTCATCCTGGACGTCAGTGCTAATAAGTGCCTTCCTTATTTAAGATCTTCTCAATAGGTAGGATAAGATCAGTGGAGCCTTTTCAACTTATTTTTGAGGCGCAAACCATTTGTGTCCTATGTATTATCTTCTGATTACAAATACCTAATGTGTATAAAGCAGGACTTGCTCCTCGGGTCAAACAAACAGTGGTTTTGTTGTATCCTGACCATCACTATCCACCTTGAACCATCCCTCTCTGTTTTCCCCTTTCTGCAGGAGCTTAAGGAGACGATGGACGAGCTGAATCCCTTGATCCCTGTACTGGAGCAGTACAAGATGGATGCTGCGCTCATTTCTCACTTCAAGGAGGAGATCAGGAACCTCTCAGGAGTGCTGACAGGTATCCAGGAAGAGCTCGGGGCCTTTGACTACGACGAGCTTTACCAGCGAGTCCTGCGACTGGACAGCAGGCTCCGCGGCTGTATGGGCAAACTCAGTAAGTGGTGAACACCGCCTGTGATTTTTTCATTGTGTTATAGTACTGGCGAAGGTAATGGGGAAGCAGAAGCCCAGTTTTTGTTACACTCCACTAAAAACGCCCGAAGAGAAGAAGCAATTGGTTCTTGTTTTTGAGGACAGCTTTTACCTCTTCAAACATTTAGATGTTCAATTATCTTTCAAAGAAGCCTTTTTAAAGCGAGAGTGGGCCATCCTTTAACCAGTTTAAATCACCGCTCTCATGTCTATGAGGGAAACACTGCGCTCAAATCAAGTGTTACACATTAATGTAGCTGCTCGTAACTAAAGATGTTGATGATAAAGACATCTGAGGTCTGTATATACATAATCTTGTGGTTCATTAAAGGAAACAATATGGGCGAGTCATAGGAAAGCTGTGCAGTTTGAGACCCCAAAACAGCAGTTGCATGATAATGCTTCAAGTGAAATAAAGCAGCTCACTGCTCGGCCTATCTTAGTATGCACACAGGGCACACTCTCTGGTGGCACAGGCATGAAATTGGCTTGAGAATTCTAGTTCAAGACAAAAACCACCACAGCACATCTTATCGCTGCATTTCTTTATTAACAGCATGTGGGAAATTAATGAAAATCACTGGACCTGCTACAATAAAGACATCTGGAACCCGGTTTGGGGCATGGATGACTGATCCTGTGGCGTCTACCAGAAACAACAGGGTGAGTTATGAAAGCAGGGGAGTGCTTTCTGCCGGCTGTGCAGTGTGTACAGTGTGTATTTGTGTTGGACTTTTAGAATATCACAACAGCTGAAGATGGGTCCGTTATCATGGAGTGGGTTTGATTTTGAGCTAAATTATAATGATGTTTCACAATACCCCCCCCTCCCCATTCTGAGCAACATTTCTCTACTATGTTATATTATAGGAGTCAATAATACATTTTTTAAAATGATAATTGGTAACGCTTTATATTAAGGTCCTTGTAATAACCATTAATTAATAGGTAATAAGGCCCTTGTAAGTCATGACAAGATGCTTATTAACATTTATAAGCCTATATAAGTGTTAATAATGGCATTATAATACAATTAATAGCAGGCTATAACACATTTATAAGCATCTTTGCCATGCCTTTATGAATCTTTTTTTGTTTGCTTATTGATATAATAGATGAGCAATAAAGTATATTTTAATAAGTTAACTATGCACTTGTTAACAGTTAACTATGCTTTTTGCAGCTACCAGATCTAAAGCGAGAACAAGCCTTGTTAAGGCTAATAAATCATTTATTATGCATTAACAAGATGTTGTCTCTTTGTTTCATCTCCTCTGATATAGGTCTGGTATATGGACGGTTACACCAACAGCAAGATTGTGCGCGAGTACAAGACTATGGACGACTTTGTATCGGGGGCGGTTTCCCGGACCTACAGCCTCCCGTTTAAATGGGAGGGAACCAATCACATTGTCTACAATGGATCGCTTTACTACAACAAGTACCAGAGCAACATCATTGTCAAGTACAGCTTCGAGTCAGGCAGCGTGCTGGCTCAGCGGGCTTTGGAGTTCGCCGGCTTCTACAACATGTACCCGTATACTTGGGGGGGCTACTCCGACATCGACGTCATGACTGATGAACTGGGGATGTGGGTGGTGTACGCGACCAATCAAAACGCCGGTAACGTTGTGATCTCCCAGATAGATCCGGACACCTTGCACGTACTGAACACTTGGAACACCGAATACTCCAAAAGGAACGCGGGTGAATCCTTCATGATCTGTGGGACGCTCTATATCAGCAACTCTCACCTGTCGGGGGCAAAGATTTACTACGCTTACTCCACCAAGGACTCGAGTTACGAGTACATAGACATTCCCTTCCACAACCAGTACTTTCATATCTCCATGCTCAGCTACAACGCCAGAGAGAGAGCGCTGTACGCCTGGAATAACGGACACCAGGTGATATTCAATATCACCCTATTCCACGTCATAAAAACCGACGATGACTCTTAAACGCAATTATTTTTCCAACCTACTAAAGCACCATCATTTGGGATACGAGGACCTCCTGATTAACCATGTTTTGTTTTGTCAAAATTGACTATGGTATCTTTTCCTGCCACTTTTGGAATTTGTGGCTGAACCGAGCATGGACATCGTGACCTTATTCAAAAACACGTTATCCATTGTTAAGACTTTTTTTCTTCGCTGCTGATCAGACTGAAATGCCTTATTTGCTTTGTTGGGTCTGCAAACAAAACATTTTTGCATGAATGTCCACATTTGATCTGCAGTGATTTACTATGCTGTGTTTTGTTGCAAATTTGTTCAGTGACAGTGTTTGCTTTTTATCTATTCAAAACTATTTAAAACAACATCTCCTTCATATTTGCTACCACATTAAGCTAGCTGTTTATTAAATAGTATTAAATTAGAATTAAACCATTCTTTTAGAGATGGGCCTGTCGGATATTGCTGTCATGAATGTAACTGTAAGAGCATTTGTATTTTTTATAAAAGAAGACCATATGAGAATATCTGTGCATTTTCATTCAAATTAAAATATTGTACATTTCATTAAAACGGTTTTGGCTGGTACGATATGCTTTACACCCACCACTGTCTGATGGAGAAACAGTCCTCTCAATGGAAGCAATTTGATCCATGATTGGTATCATTTAGGCCTATTCAATTCCACAAGCAGGGATTCCATCACTGAAGCGCTTTTGTTTTTTTGTCTTTTACAGTTTGTTTTTGATAAAAAACGAAAAAATCCCGTTCAAGAAGGCATGACACCAGAGTCCCACTCATACTTTGAGGAGATCACCATGGTGCTGAGGATAACATGGACATATGTAATAAAAATAACCTGTCTTTATATTGTTCAATATAACAACCCATTTCATATTGGTGATTGAAGGTACCATCTCTCAACAAGGAATCCATTTTCTTCCTCTCTACGTGAGACGTTGAGTCATCCTTTGGCATTTCAATTAGTATGAAGTGGCGATGACCTGCTGAGATATTTCATAGCGTTCAGTAGAAACTCCTTCTCCTCACCATTATCACCGTCTTTATTCTTCAATAACACATGGATGTGTGGTACCTAATGGTTTCATCTTTTATCTGTATTATTGGAAAACACCGTCACGTCTTCAAGTACATATAATGAAACATTCCAGAGGCAAAGCACATTTGCATGCACACGGATAAACAGAGACACAGTTGGAGGTAAGGCTGTAATCGGTTTAATCAACCGTCAGTAATCAGGGAACTGCAACATCAGTGACTGGCCTCTGAAACAGCCTACAAGTTTTCTATTAAAATCTCGCTTTTGTTTGAGAATAAAGATGTTTATTCTGAGTTCACGGGTTTACAAAACCTCCTGCCTATGTGACCTGGATCTTAACTAGCCTTCTCTGCTGTTGTTCCGTATTTATCGATTTCCCTTTCTCGCAGTCCAGGCTACAAGTGTCTGTCACTCAGTAAAAATATGAGCATACCCGCTGCATCCTCGAACGGCAGGATTGATAACGATGGTGGAAAAAAAAAAAACGACCAAAATCTTCTTCGCTGGATCTTTATTAGATAAACTAAGTCTCCTTCAGAGAGCTTTATTAGCATTGATCGCTTCACTCTTTTCATACACAACATCCATCGGTTTAGATAGCTGTACGTGCGTTCATAGAGACGGGAGCATTGGATCAAAGTCTGCATGTTTGAGCACACGCATCTTTATCCGTGCTCAGCGTCAGTCACGGGAGCCACACGGCAGTTCAGGCTGTATCAGAAAAGGTTATTGGCCTCAACTCTGACGTTTTACCTCTTTTGGGGGGGATTGGGCTCATTTGGGCTTATTTTATAGTCAAAATCCTAAGAAGCCGTGCCAAGTGAGAACAGAGAAACCACAATAATAGGAAGCTTTTAAAGTGTTCAGTCCACAAACATCTCTTTTAAATGTCAAAAACATGGTGCTGGATATCACCATAAAGAAAAGTACTTCTCATTACAGATGTGCTCGAAGCCCACAGACACCCGCAGCACATATAAAAACAACCTCCTATAGTCCAAGAGTGTGTTCAGAAAGGCCTGTAGTGCATTTCTGTTCGTCACACATGCTCCCTGTTGCTCGGGTGGTTTTGTGAAGGATTTGGAATCTGCACCACAGCGGTTTATTTCACCAAAGGGGATCAATGGGGTTGTTGTGTGCTTCCTTTCCATTGATCCAGATGTAGCTTCGCAGGGCTGCTGCACGCTGTTCCATTTCAGCTAAATTAATGAAAGTTCATTTTGTTCACATGCTGTAATGGTATCCGTAAATAACCCCACAGAGTTCACAATTGGTTTGAAATTCACCTCCCTTTGGATTTGGACTACAAACCAAGGTACCTTGACACATTCCACCCTCAATCCCCGGTTAAACCTTTACCTTGAAGGGCTTTGTGCCCAGGCTCACTTTTTTTGCATTATTTAGTTGGCTGTCCAGATTTGATTTGATGTATGCCAATTCCCTCAGAAGATTGGAAGCGACAACAAAAGTAAATATCTGCTGCATTTTTGAGATGGTAATTCCCTCGAAGTCAAGGAAAGGATGCAGTAAACACCTGCCAGAACTATTTTACGGTCTCGCAAGAAAAGAAAACTCCTGTCTTGGCTGACACGTCAACAAAAGAGGGCTGAAGTTTTTTTTGATGAATTGTAATTGCAAATCCACACCGTCATTTCATCAAAGCTCTAATGTAATACAAGTTTTACAAAAGACACACACAGCCACTTCAGCAAAATGAAAAGTACCATGTTGATGTTTTTATTGTGCATAATAAAATGCTAACTTCTGTCTTGTAGAACGCTCCCTCGCCCTCATTCTCCTGATCTCTCGTTTTCTTTCAGTCTCCATTTTGTGGTTGTGAATGATCTCATAATATATATAATTATCATGTCACCATGAGTAAACGCCGTGGCTCTTAAAATGACATATCTTGTAGGACCAAGAGGTTGAAAAAAAAAAAAAAAATGCACAAATTATCCTATCCTATTAGTGCTTGTGTGAATCCTCCTTCTATCTCTGAAGTGGCATTTGTGAATAAGACATGATGTAAATAAGTTGACATTGGCTCTGTCATCTTTTATTCAGAATCCTATATGGTGATGGAAATAACCTCACAGAAATAGAGTATTTCATTTCCTCAGTTCTTTGGAAATGATGCTCAAATGGAACGTCAAAGTTCTTGTTGGAACTGAAATTTCAACTACAAGGTAGAAAAAGGTGATTTGGTTTCTCTCTTTTTAAATTATATTTTTCTTTGAAGAGACAAACAATTAAATGTAAATGCAACTAATATTTCAGCAATATTTGGCTCTTAATTCCAAGTGTGTTTTGAAATGCTCTCTCAATAGGAAACAAATAGAAAGTACTATTTTTTTTTCAGACTAAAAAATATACTTAAAGTAAAAATGAATGAGAGCAGCAAGAAAGACACCAGTGGGGGCCGTGTATTTGTGTTTTGCTGTTGGTATCCAGGGGATTCAATGTCACCATACCAAAGACGGTTATTGAAAGCATGTTACAAAGTCAAGGTTTATGGTCTCATGTCCATATACACTATAGACAAGCTTTTGTATTCAGCTTTTTTGATTTGCAGATGCTGATCTGTATTTGTGACATTTTATGTACCTAAAGGGTGTTTTCTTTGAAGTGATGCTGTCAACGTGTGGTTATAGAGGCAGTTATATTTGGGTGGACGGAGGAGTTTCTGCTTGCCTGATAAGTGTAAACACGAAAGGGTATTATGTGTCAAACCTCACCACACACTGCGTGGTGGAGTCGATACATTAACTGTAGCTGCTAAATCGTTCTGTGAGTATTAAGTACATACACAAAGGGGCCTAACATGACAGCTGTGGTCACTGGGTAAAGTGCATAGGCCTACACATGCATTTACACAATGCATAACTTTGTTCAAGATCAAGATCATCAAGATTTTATGAGAATATTTGTCATTTACTAAGTTTCAGAATGCATTTTTATCATCTTAAAGTCACTCAACATTTAGTGTATTACCATGAACATTTTTTGGTTTTCTTTTCCCAGTCACTGATTTATCCAGTAAGAGATTCCTCAGCTCCAGTAAAAGGAGATTTGCAAATAATTATGTTAGTCTACAATTAATTATAAAAATATTCAGTTTATAATACAGTAATACTTTGTGGCATTGGATTTCCCTCCAAAAAGGAAATGTTCTCACGTGTCATGTCTGATTTTGTCCCCTACTTGGGCACTCAGGCTGGGTTCATGTAAGTTTTTACTGGTTGACCTCCTGTCATTCAGGGAGGTCAAACTTTCTGGTGGCATTTTTGGAATTATTTGATTTTATATTTGTTAATTTTACCAGCATCGTGATTGGCTTCAACTTGTAAGGTCACAAAATAATGCTCGTAGTTACAGAGGAACATTTCTTACTTGTGTCAAACTCTGCAAATGCATGATCATGCATAACCCAAGTTGAGTAACAAAAAAACTCAATTATTTTTTAAGAATACACTCATAAAAGTCCTGACTAACATAACAAAATTTGGCCGCCACAAGAGTCCAAATTATCTCCCAAACAAGCAGCCTTTCCTGGAGCCAAACACCCTAGAACAGGATCCCATCATAATAAAACAACAATTGTTAATCTTTTAAGGTGGTTGTTATCAGTTATGAAGCGAAATTTGTCTTTACTCTCATAAAATAACTGCACGCTCTCTCATAATGAATTCCTCAGGACAACTCCAGATATTAGTTCTTCATTCCATCACTTGTTCAATCTCTATTCTTTCTATATCTCTCTCTGGAATACACATTGACAAGTATTAATCTGACTGTCTGGAGGAGTAACATGAATTCATATTTGCTGTTTTCATGCACAGCCCACATTGCCAATGCTGTTATATCAGGTGGAGTGACCTTACCGTTCATCCCCTGACCAAATCAGGGGATGAATGGCTTCGATATCAGGACAAGATATACTGCAGGTAGACAAGACGAGCAGGGGATTTAATTAACAAAACCAACCAAGGACACAAATCAAAGCAACTGTGTTATAGGGCTTGTGTATTGCACATGCTCACTACAGCAGAGAGATTTATTGAAGCTTTTTTCATTTGCTTTCATGGATGAACATCTTTCATTCATGTGAAACATGTCTCCCTTGAAGAGGAGCAAAGCTAACAGCTTCCCTGCTTTCGCCGTTTTAATCCGTGCTTCTTTTCTGTTAAGGCACGATATTGCTAGTTCGACTCTTTGAATCAGAGTAATTGGTATATATTGAAGAGTTAATCACAGAGTACACAAAGCCGTCTGAGTGTCTGTGCAAAAACAGAAGAACTGGTAGGTTTGCTGAATCATTTAGGATCCTGCTTGAAGAAATTTCAAAGACGACAGAAACGAATGAGACGTATCCAGGGATTTAACTGTTATGGTATTTCAATTCATTTCAATTCCATAACAAATGAGCTACGTTCATTGATTTATCCCCACAGGTGTGGATTCGTTTCGGAGCCGGTGCTCCTTCACGGCAAGCTGCCAGACATTAACTACAGCACATCAATATGCTCCG